TCTTGACGTCGGTCACCGAAAACGACTCGACGTACAGGTCCTCGACGCGCAGGATGGCGACCGCGTCCGCCGCCGCGAAGCCGAGCATGTACGCGCGCAGAAAGTCGGCCGCCTTCTGCAGCACGTCGATGTCGGCCGTGTGCTGCGACGTCTTGAGCTCGACGCAGCGCTTGCGCGGGTTCATGCGCACGTCGAGCTTGAGCTGCTCGACGATGGGCGTGTAGAGCTGCATCCAGTCCTTCTTCAGCGGCGTGTACCGGTGCGGCGGCACCGAGACGCGCCGAAACTCCGACTTGCCGCCCGCAGCCTCCTGCGCGCTCAGCGGCTCAAACTGCGGCGGCGCCTCGACAGCGGCGCCGTCGCGCCCGCGCTGCCGCTTGCCGCCCTGCGCTGCGACCTCGTCCTCGTCGTCGGACATCGCAGCCGCGTCGGCCCGCGGGTCCCTCAAGGACGACGAGGGCATGCTGGAGGATGAGGCGGACATGGAGAGAGGCGGACGACGAGAGGCCGGCCGAGAGGCGAGCGGCGACGTCGTGCTGACGGTCTGCAGAATTCTTCTGAGCTTGACAAGGGGCACGTTTTGCTAAGCGTATTTGCGCCTCCGTATTTGCAAATACAGGCGAACAAATAAGGCACGTGAAATCGAGTGTTTTGCTAGCGTATTTGCCGGGTGGCCGTATTTGCGGCGTCAAACCCAACTTTTGCAAGGAGCTTTTTCTCAAAATCTCGTGCACACATGTCCCTAAATTATTCACACATGAATGCTCACATGGCAGGTAGCATATGCGCCACACGCCCCGACCGCTCCTCTGGTCGCCGCCGGCCTCCGCGTGGCGGCGATGTCGCAGCGCCACCCATCGGCCAGCCCTCAGATCGATCGATCAGCGCTCAAAGTCGGCTTCAGATCCGAGAACGCTGCTGGCGCCGCCGCCGATCCCAGCGGCGACGCCAGCAGCTTCCTCTGCTCTCCAACGTGCCGAGAAGCGACGCGGGGGTGCTCGGCCCGCAATGCACGACGAAGGCTCCGCCGGGCGCGCGTCGGCCGGTCCGGTGGCACCCTCTGCGCACGGCTGCCGGCGCCCCGACGACCGCCGTCGCGCCGCCGCTGATGGAGGGGCGGTCAGCGCCGCTGCCGCCGCGCCGCCAGTGGGAGGGGCACTGGTGGTGGCCTGGGCGGCCCTCCGCCGCCGCTCGACGCGCTGCGAGCAATGGGAGAGATTGGGGGTCCAGAAGGACGGGCGGGGGGGGGGGGGGGGGTGCCCCACAAAACCCGGAAGGCCCGCGGAATTGGGGTTAGGGGGAGGTGCTAGGCGGGATGCAACCCAAGAGCCCGCATTGTTCATTTCCGGTCCAAGGGGGAGGGAAGGAAAAGGGGCGGGGAAAAGGGGTAAGGGAAGGCGGCGTGGCCCCTCGTCGACAATGCATCCTCCCCCGCATCAAACCCCACACAGGGCCACGGCTGCATTCCCAACAATGAGCGAGACGAGG